GAATGTTTTCCTGGAAATGGTAGAAGAGCACGCTGAGTGAGGACAAAGAGAACACGTCCTTCCAGAGCATCTGTTATTTTCAGACAGCTCCTGGCTTTTCCTTTATTTAAGTCACTCCTATGGTAGTGTTCTGCTGGGCCCATAAGCCTTTTCTTCATTAATCCTAGATTTAGGTTGTGTCTGACTCCAAGGATAAGCTGGGAGAACTGGGATAGCTCAGGAAGTCATCTTTCTTTCTAACGGAGCTGAAGTTTGAGGAGCTCTTACATTCTATTAATTCCTTGGGTTTCCCACCATGTCCACCTTGCTTTATCCTGGGACAACTGGCTATTGTTACCGTGCAATTAATTCAGGACAGCTTTGTGGTTATCAAAAGAGGAGAATGTCCGGGAGACTAAATTCTAAGATCATTCTTTCTCACTTTTGTGATCTTTCATTGCCTTAGTTAGCCCAGAATGATCCTTAGAAACCCTGCCAACTGTTTACTCAGCAGGCTTGGATGCTGCAGAGAATGCCTTTAAAATGTTAACACAGAAATCCTATTGACAAATAGAGATAAGATAGCCTACCTAGCCTCTATAGTACATCATTAATAAGGCAGGGAAAGAAGACACAAATATCTAGTGCATCATTTTCTGTCTCTGAAAGTCATGTCCAGTAATAACACACACTCAGACTAGCACTCTCTGCTGCATCCAAGCCTGGTGCTACACACTTGAGTTTCTAATGGTTCTTTAGGGGCAAAAGGCAGGGCTCACCTTTGCCTGTGATTGTTAGGAGTTGTCTGTGCTGGTAGCCAAGAGAATAGTGTAGAGCTGGTCTGAGTAGGTATTATTAGTGGACATGACTTTCTGAGATAGAAAATGATAATTCAATATTTGTGTTTTATTTCTCTGCCTTATTAATGATGTACTAAGAGACTGGAGAGACTATCTTATCTCTATTTCTCAATAGGATTTCCCTGTTAATATTTTAAAGACATCACACAAGTCTTACTTCTATCAATAATAAGGTGTTCAAAAGCAAAGGATTCAGGGCTGGGGAGATAGCTCACAGTCTAAGCTCCTGCCTGGCAAGCGTAAGGACCTGGTACTGTATGCTAGGAAGGCTGAGACAGGAGGATCAATATGAGTCTGGGTTGCATATTGAGACCCTGTACCATGTACATAAAGCTTTTTTTTTTACTGTTTATTTTTTTCCCATAATTTTATTGAGAAAAAAATAGCAATGAGACAGTATCAAACCAAATTGGTAGGACAGTTTCAATAATTAACACACTGCATACATTCTTCCTAGTGGTTAATTGCTGTACAAGATGCAGACATGATATCCTATTTACAAACACCATTAGAGCAAATCCCTCTATTCATTAAGGGAAGGTAGCTATATATCCTAACCACTTTGAATACACAGATACAAAATGGACATTCATCTGTATCCCCTTTTTTGTTAAGTTCCGTTATTTGAATATTATAGGTGTGAAAACTCAGCAAAATATTCTAAAAGAGTCCAGTAGCCCATAATAGTATTGGGTCTTCCGCTTGACTGGCAATGTCAGAAATTGTTGACCTGAGTCCCCTACAGCTCAACAAAACAGCATGGCTTTACTTTTTATACTTTGTTTTTATACTTTTCTGCTGGATGGTTAAGACCAAGGTAAAGCAAGACCTATGCAACAAGAGTTGTCGCTTTTGGGTCTGATAAGGTCAGTGAAATCCCCTCAGGATTTATCCTGAGATCCTGTACCTCAGATTGTAGAACCTTTGTCAGTGTCAGCCATGTGGATGAGTCACGGCCATTGCTTGGCCAATATGCTCTTTGTGAAAGCCTGAGCAAATAGAAAGGTATAATAGAAGTAAAAGGAAAGCAGGATCTCAAGGACTAACTAATCAAGAGAGGGAAAGGAGAAGAGCTAGAAAACAAGACAATGTCAAACCATACAGATATATGTAGAAGATGGGCAAGGCAATGATCCTGAGAATCTCCAGAAGATTTTTGAATCTAGCAGTTAATTGTAAAGATTCTCATCCTGACTAACTATATACACTGATACCTGTGAAATAAGCAACTGCACTGAAGATGGTAATCTGTAATAGTAGTTTCATGCTTGGAGTGCCTGTCATTCGGGTCTTCTGAATATGGGCTGCTTGTCATGACATGCCAGTTGCTGCTGTGCTGTCTCGGGTAGATGATTGTTCAAAAAGAAGCAGGTGGTGAATGAAGGCAAGAGACAGGAAAAGGAATATTGTGGGACTATCCTGCTTTAAGGTTGTATATGGTTAGATTTTTGGACTTATGTGTAAACATAAGACATATATAATTCTTTATGCCTATTTTAAAAGTATATTCTAATTTTTAAATGTTTTTTCATCATATTCTGATTTCAACATATCAATACTTGATGAAAAATACTTGTTCCATGCTTTGCCTAAAATGTTTGATATTCAGACAGATAGTGAGGTTAAACTTAAGAGCCTAGGTTGTATGGTAATAATAATAAGCATGTCTTCTGGAGGGTTAACAACCTAAGTTTGCAGACCAAAATTAGAGAAAAAGGAGGGCTGCAAGGAAAGCCAACATTTTGGCCCTAGCCTTCTAAGGTCAATTAGGACTCAGGACATATGAGATCTTGTACTGTAACGTCATGTAACTCAGTAGTGTCCCAGATTTTCTGATCAAGGAGATTATGGGGCCAAAGAGGAAAGGGATCGATGATGTAGAATGTGCCTAAGGAGAGTCACATGGAGAGAAAACATGTACATAAAGCTTTAAAAAGAAAAAGAAGCAAAGGATTCAGAAGCAGCAGGACTCGGATTGGCCTGTGATGATCATAATGGTTGGCCTGGCTTTGATGCCACGTATCTAGTGGCTCAAGGAAAACAACTTCAGCCCCTTTTCTGATTTAGGTTATCTCATAAGCCCTTCAGTTAGAAGCTCATCTAAGGACCTCATGGATGAAAGAAGCCTTCATCTCTGGAACTTTTGTATCGTAGAGTCTGGGAAGAGTAGAGCAGGATTCCTCAGTCCAACAATGGCTTGATTTTGTTTACTTTTGTATTCTTTTATCACTCCCTAATCATACATAGATTTTTCTATTTTATATTTTCTTAATAATTAAGTTTTAGTTTTGAGCTGTATTCTTCAGCCCTGTTTGTTCTTTGATTACTGTAGCTTTCCTTTTTTATTTCTATTTTAAGACCCCCATCCCTTTCCATTTCTTATTTATTTATTTATTTATTTAATTTTGATACAGAGTCTTGCTACGCATCTCGGACTCATAGCGGTCCTCCTGTCTCAGCCTTCTCAGCTCTGGGATTACAGGCCTGTGCCACCATGCCCGGTTTCGGGGCCACTTCTGGGACAGGCATGGCATGTGGTATAAGGGATTGAACTCAGGTCCTTGCGCTTGCAGGCACTATCTCTTCAGCCCTCTATTTCTTTTTCTTTTGTCCTGCAAGGACTCTGCTGTCGTTTGTTATATCATTCTAGGTAGCAAAGCACAATGGTTTGGAGGATAGATTCTGTTCAAAGATTGGGTTCAAATTCCCATTCTGCTGTGTAACAGTTGTGTAGCCTTGAATGAATTGCTTAATCTTTCTATTGGCCTTGGTTTTCTCATTTGTAATGTGGGCGTAGTAACAGTCCTTCCCTCTAGGGGTGTCATATGGCTTAACTGAAATGCTTATGAGATGCTTGTGAGAAAGTGACACCCAATAAATGTTAGCTCTTTACATTAGTTTTAGTGTCATTGCTAATATTAGAATAACCTTACAGCTTACCATTTCCTCACTGCAATTGATGGGCACATCTTTCTCCCTACATTTGCAACGGGTTTTGGGTCCTTTCTACCACAATTTTCACCAGTAGCTTAAGTGCGGTATGGCCAAAAGTAGATTCTCTGTCTTTCACCTAACTTATTCCATTTTTCTCTCCTGTATTTCTGTTAATGATGCCATAATATTACAGTTTTCTCAGTTAACTCTTAATTTTGGGTTAATTTCAGGCTCTTTTCTTTCCTATGATATAGTCATGAACATTCATAGATTTAATTCACAGGTGTTATTGCTTATAATTGTAGCGTTCAGCACAAGACATCGGTTAAAAATGATTCTACATTTACATAATGCAAGTCTATAGCTGTTAAATTTACACAGAAAAGTATTCAAATATGAAAAGAAGCATTGCTAGTAAATTGAATTATAATATGTATGGTATAATTCCATTTTGATTTTTAGAGGCATATGGATGTGTAAAAGGAGATTAGAAGGATAGCCACTCAAAACATTTTGTTGTGATTATTCTGTCTTATGGGATTTAGTATTTTTAATATTATGAATGGTTTTAATATTTTACTTTTTTCTTTTATAAATGTTTGAAAATCATTCATATTTTACTTTTATATGAAGAAAAAAACACTTCAATTTAGAAAGGAATATGATAAATACCTATTTCTAAAGAACAGGATAAATGAAAGCCTAGCAAGTTCTGTACTTTACTGACCTTTTATTTTTTATTGTGTATTTATTCTTTTTGGTACTAGGGGTTGAACTCAGGATTTTGCATTTGCCAGGCAGGTGCTTATGCTGCTGGGCTATGTCCCCGGCCCTTTATCGATCTTTTTGTTTTGACCAAGTACAATGCTAAATTCACAGCAAATACTCAATAAATATTTGGTTAATGCTTGTTGAATGTTGAATGAAATAATGTTATCTTGTGCATTTTTGGAAAAAACTTTATATTTAAGAATGCTTAATGCATCAAGAACTAACTTGTAGGTTTCATAAAAATATTCTTGGAAGAGTTTCTCAATGAATACAAAATAAGACAAATTGGGTATGAAGGATGTTTTCCTTTTCTTTTTAAAAAAGGAAACAAACAAAAAATAGGATTTCAAAATAGGTTAGTGGGAGAGTTATAGTATTGTTGTCTTCATAGTACTTATTCAGAGTACAAGAGATCAATGTTGATCAATACCAACACTATCTAACTTGTCATTTCAGTGAATAACATGAGCGCAAGGAGAGCCGTTGGGCTGAGTGCTTCAGGGAGCACATTTACATCAGGAGAATTTGCACATCAAAATGGACCATGTGAGCACCGCCTTAGGAATACATCTACTTCCCTTTGTACTCCATCACAGTGTTTAGAAGAAGAACAGGTAATAGCCTAATGTATTTATAGAAATAACCCAAGGAAAGAAGCATTCTTTATGAATTTAAAGAAAGGAGAAACCCTAAAAGCACTAAACTGTGGCCAGATTTCTAATTCTTAATTCTTAGAAGGAGTCATGGGCACTTGGTTGAAAAGCATTATTACATTTCAGTATTTCAATAGCTGTCATTTGTGATAGCAACTTGGTTATCTTTAATTTTCATTAAAAAAATCTCTTTAGCATCTGTCATCTATGAATTCTTCATATAGTTATTTGTACATTTTGTTCGGGATGAAGAAAGTTTTTTTATACTTTTTTTTTGGTATAAAACGGGACTTTGTTTTACTTGTCCTACATTCATGTCTTATGGCTTGGGTTTAGGCATCCCCTCAAAGCCTCATGGGGTCACAGGTGGGGATTTCTCAGAGGTGGCTGGGTCTAGAGCTTATGGTGCTGGATTGATTCATGGTGCCATGCTAGGGTCGAGGAACCAGGATTAAGGGTGTGAGTGCTGCTGCTCTAAGCAATCTGGGTAAGATAGAAGGGACAGAAAGAGCTGTGGCTGTCCTTTGAGCTTTGCTTCCTTCTGCCTTCCAAAACTGTTTCTCCTCTGTGATGTCTGTCTGCTGTGACCCCCCGCCTGGGGTCAGCCCATCATGGCCTGCAACCTTTGCAATCTGTGAGCCAAATAAACCTTTTCTTTCTTTAGCTTTCAGTGTTGGGTATTTTTTCTGAACAATGAGTAAAGTAACTAAGATAGTCTCCATCAAACTTGAAAGTAGAAAGTATTATCTTAGTTTTACAAGATCTAGTCAATACATGTCAGATACTTTTTTTTTTTTTTTTTTACTAACCTTCAAGACATTCTAGACCATTTATATTTTCCTGGGCTGTGTTTTTTAATTATGAAAGAATGAAGCATATGCTGTCCTATCTTTCAAGTAGTTGGAGTTTGTGTTTTCATCTTAGTTTGTCTCCTTTTGATAATTGTAACAGAATTGTGGAAGAGATTGTAATTTTATTCATGAAAACAAAAATCTCTGCTGGAAATGTATTTATATACAGCAGAGACCTATAAATCTGTTGACATTTATTTCCAGATCTTGCTTTCAGTGATGATTGTGAGAGATGAGCTTTTTCCTTAGGGGATTTACACTTTACTAGCAATTATTGGTAATTTGGATTATATTACATATTATAACATGTCTTTTCTCAGTATGTAAGAAGCAAATAATTGAGTAACATTGTTTCCTAATAAGAAAGTGTTATAGTAATGTTCTCTGATTTGTCCGTCAGATGTTTGTTGGGGTGGAGAGGAGGTTCAGTGTTCTTATTTTATACACAAGAATGCTGGGGTTAGGCAATCTACTGTGAGTTGCCATATACCTGGGTCTTCAGGGCAGAAATAGAAGTGAGACTTTTTTTTTTTCTTTTCAAAGTTTTATTGATAAACATATAGCAATGAGACAGTTTCAAATCAAATCGATTTTTTATTTATTTTTTATTTTTTTATTTTTTCTTTCTTTTCAAAGTTTTATTGATAAACATATAGCAATGAGACAGTTTCAAATCAAATCGAAAGTACAGTTTCAACAAATAATACACTGCATACATTCTTCTCAGTGGTTAATTGCTGTACAAGATGCAGACTTGTGATCCTACTTACAAACACCATTAGAAAAAATCATTCTATTCATTAAGAGAATGCAAATATATATCTATCCCAACCACTTTGAATACACAGATACAAAATGGACATTCATAGTTATACCCCAATTTTTTTTTAAGTTCCGTTGTTGAATATTATGGGTGTGTAAACTCAGCAAAATATTCTAAAAGAGTACAGAAGCCCATAATATCATTGGGTCTTCTGTTTAACTGGCAATGTCAGAAATTATTGACCTGAGTCCCCCACAGCTCAACATAACAACATGGCTTTACTTCCTATATTTCATCTTCATACTTTTCTACTGGATGGTTAAGACCAAGGTAAAGCAGGACCTGTGCAACAAGAGTTGTAGCTTTTTGGTCTGACAAGGTCAGTGAAATGCCCTCAGGATTTATCTTGAGATGCTGTACCTCAGATTGTAGAACCTTTGTCAGTGTCAGCCATGTGGATGAGTCACGGCCAATGCTTGGCCTATGTGCTCTCTGTGAAAGCCTGAGAGAGTGTCTTCTCCCCATGTGACTCTCCTTAGGCACACTCTACGTCATCGATCACTTTCCTCTTTGGCCCCATTATCTTCTTGATCAGAAAATTTGGGACACTACCGAGGTACATGACGTTACAGTACAAGTTCTCATATGTCCTGAGTAGAAGTGAGACTTTTTAAGACTTACTCTCTGACCACTTCTCTGCCGCAGAGAATCTAGTCTTTTATACAGAGCTAATTAACAATGAGTAGAAAGACTACATGATCAGCTACTTTGGTCTCAGTTGCTTTGGTTTTCCAATAACATGTCTTCCTCACTGTATTTGCAGATAGTATTGGACGAAGGCCAGAAGGTTGGCAGTTTCTTTCAAGGTGACCTGACCCGGGCAGGAAAGGTGAAGGTAAGGCAGCTTTCTTCTGTGGCAGGAAAACACAAAGAAACTCATTTGTTGTCCTTTGTATGAAGCTGGAGAGTTCAGCAGACTTGGTTTGGCATTTTTTTAAATTGGTGTTTGAATATTCTATTGCTTACAATATTCAGTATACTATTATTGAATACAATTAGACATATTTAATATACAGTATTAAAACTATCCTGCTTTACTGGGTTTTGGATCTTTTATCCTTTAAGCTTAACACATGGAAGGGATGCTTTAATAGAAAAATGCATCTCTAGTCTTCCTTGGCATTCCCATTCAGAAAATGACAGTACAACAGAAGCTCAGACTGAAACCGCCATATAGACGACATATCTTTGCTGTCACTGGATTACCAAGTAATAATTGCAGTTCTGTATTTCTAAGCAATAGAAACTACCATTTTTAAAAATTATTTATTTCTTCATTTGGTACAGGGTCTTGCTACACAGCTCAGACTTGTAGTGATCCTCTTGTCTCAGCCTCTCCAATAGTGGGATTACAGGAATGTGCCACCATACCTTGTTTCAGTGGCTGGCATGGCATGCCTGGGGTTCTGGAACTGCACAGCATGCAGTATCAGGGATTGAACCCTGGTCCTTCTGCTTGCCAGGCAGGTGCTTAGGCTGCTGAGCTTTATCCCCAGCCCCAAACTACCATTTTTTAAAAAAAATGTATTTAGTACAGGGTCTACAGGGTCTCACTACACAGATTGGACTTGTAGTGATCCTCCTGTTTTCAGCCTCACAAGCACTGGGATTACAGGCATGCACCACCATGCCCAATCTGAATCACCATCTCAGTGCGCCTCGGGGGGTGGGGTCAGCAGGGCATACTGGGGATTGAACCCTGTCCTGCACCTGCCTAAGCAGGTGCTTTAATCTGCTGAGCATCTGGCCGGCCCCAAACTACCATTTTAAATTCCTATGGAATATCTGTAATCTGGCTAGTACAAGTATAGTTAAGGGGAAAAGACAGTTTGTCTTTTGAATAGCAATTTTGAAGTATAAATTTGTAATTTTAAAATATTTTGTTATGCACTTGTTTAGGTCATGAGGACAGAAAGGCATTGTAACTTTATGCCTGTCATTTATGTCAGTGGTGAAATCATTTTCTTATTTACGCTCTTTGATACTCCTCTGTGAGGAATTAGTTCATGTCTAAAATGTTGCCATTTTGTTAATGCAAACTGTCTGATTGTCAGCTTGCAGTGGAAAGCAGGATTCCACGTGGAATAGTTTCTCATTGAAATGCTGCTATTGTCTCTACAAAGGTCATTTGCTTTTTTTTCCTCCTTACCTTTGAAGTAATTCTCAGTTTTATTTGTTGGAAAGAGAGAACACTTGATTTTTTGGCCTGCTTACCTCTCTTGTGATTTATCTGGGGCGGGGTGAGTTTGCTTTGAATGAGCCTTTCTCTCCCACTTTCTTTAGTTTTTTCCACCTGGCTTTTCCGAGTGCTATGTGCTTGCAGCCCGTATTATGATAGCTAGATCCACCACCATGATTTACTTGAGATGCAGTTCAAGAGAAACAAAGCAGAGAAATCCTGTTTAGGACCATCACGGTGGTGGGGATATTCTATTCTGGGCTAGAATCTGGAACGGAGTCTCTTTTCAAAATCTCCCAGCCTTTTTTTTTTTTTTTTTTTTCCCCTTTTTCACTATAGAGAGCTGACTACATTGCCTGTAAAATTCAGGCCAGCTTTTAAATTTATTGCTTCTTTCAGCTGGGGAGGCACGTGAGCATAAAGGCTTTGAGCTGGGACTGAAGAATTAATGAGAAAGTAGAGTCAGCTGCTCAGTTGGACGTTGTGGAAGTAGATTCACGGCTCTTCACTACATTTTTTTTTTTCTTTAACCAAAATATGCATAAAGATGTTACTCCTTTTCTAGGTGGACAATTTCCTAGATTTAGAAGATTTGGATGTCGATGAAGAAGTGAAGCCGCAATTGAGCAAGGGTATGACTTCTATTTTTTGTTTTTTAATACTAATTGAACTGTTTTCTGGAAACTACAGTTGAGGCGTTAGACCACTTTCTACAGTGGTGGGGCAATCCCTTATTAACCCCTCCCCTGAAATCGGAAAAACTAAGGCTGTGGGTTTTCTGTTTCAAAAATAAGGACTCATCCAATTGGTCAAACCCTTTTGAAGATTGTAAAAACCTTTGGAGTTAAGTGAAATGAACTTCTCTTACCCCATACTTACAGTTTAGCAGATAAGTGATTGTTGAATAATTGTCTCAGGTACAGCTATTATGAAGTCAACCTCTTCTCAGAAGTGCAGCGGTATAAATTGAGGTTATTTTAGGTGAAGGGCACATAAAATATTAGTTGATCATAACAAATCAGAATTGATTATAAAAATAGACAAATTCAAATTTTCTTTTTTAGAAAATAGTTATTAAATGTGTAGTCCAAACACTTAAGACTAAAGATACATTATAAATATTTCTTCTGGGCATATTCTGTGGTCTGGACTGGAAGAGGCTTACCGGTAGTCTGCTGATAAGTATATAGATGAAGACTTTGTCCTTTACTTGTTACCGTTTCTGTGCAAGCATAGGTATTCTCTGTTGGTGAAAGCACCTATGAAATACATTCAAAATTAGCATTGTTTTGAAGACATTCATTTCTCATTTATTATGTGTTCATATTGCAATATCATTGTTAAATTCTAGGGGCAGTCAGCTGACATTTAACTGTTTATGACTTTTAGTTAGTCATAAGCATGGATTATGGCCATTTTTATTGGAGGAGGACCGTTGATTCATAATCAGAGTAAAAGAGGCTGGGAGTAAAAATTTGGGCATGACTATTGGTTCTTGAAGCCTGTGCTGTGGTTTTGTTTTTTTGAACTGGTGAGGCTTTGGAAATTAGAAACAATTAACATTTCTATTCTAGTCTAAGACTTCTCACTACTCTACTGAAGGAATAGCCGTTTCTTCATCATCGTATTAACCATGAATTCTGAGGTTACTTATATAAAGGACATCAGCGATCCCAATGAATTAAATCTTACAGCAAGGGCCCTCCAGCCTTGTGCCCTAGGTGGCTCTGAATTTCTGTAAGGAGGGTGTAGAGACTTTGGTTGGACTGCAGTAGAGAACTAAGAGTGCTCAGGAGGTTACAGTTGGAGATCAAGCACACTGTTTGACTCTGGGTGATTTGGGGAGGGAATTTCATGAAAAAATGCAGATTCCTACAACCTGCTTCCAAGAATCTGATTGACAAGGTCTTTGGTGGTATCTGATGATCTACAGTTTCTTACCAGTACCCCAGGAAATTTAATTCTGTTTGAGGATGACACTTCAAACCTAATGTTTCTAGTCTCCATGTAATAAACTTATAGTATAAAATCAGTTTTATAGTTTGGGCAGAAAAGTGCCTCTGTTGGGCATTATTGGTTTAAACTTCTCACTTTTTGCCAGCACAGGAAGGTGTATATACTAACATAGGCCAACAGAGCCAACAATTTGGCTTTTGTGATATCAATCTTTTCAATTAACCTTTTCATCTTTTTATTTTCATGTTTTTTTAAAAACATTTTTTTCCAGTTGCACCTTCTAATTATCAGATTTTTCCTTTACTTAAAAGATTGCCTGAAAAATATCGCATTAGTATTCGTCTACTCAGGGTCACATAACAGGTGGTCCTGCATTTATGTATAAAAGGTTACTGAGGTTGATCCTAGACTCAGAGGACCTGAGCGATCTAGTCAAGCTCTTCCCCCATATAAAGTAATGTGCAAATCCAGGGCTGAAAATTGATCCAGGCTTCAGTGACCGATTCTAATTACTGACAGGACCACTAGAGCTTCACAATTTTCATAATGTACAATCTGGGTCACTTGCAAGGAAGAAACAAATTAAATAGTTGGTGCTAAGCTGGATTTCAGTTTGAGCCTAATTTGTATTACACTTTGGGAATGTGAGCAGAAGGCAAATATTTATATCAGATGGGAAATGTGACATTTTAAATAGGCAAGTTGCTTGTATAATTTTGGCAGCTGGGAGGTTTACTGATTAGATTCTGTTGTTATTGTTTAAGCAACAGATTTGCCTGGGGCAACAAGGAAGTAGGTTGCACATTGTTTTTCTACTATTGATTTTATTTTTTTTTACCTTATACACTCTCATGAATACTCTTCAATATTCAGGGACATGATTCTTTTTTCAATATTTGCTTTATCATTTTGGCAACCCAGGTGGACAGAGTGGAGATGGTTTTGAGGAGCCAACTTGGTATAGTGGTGCTCAGTAGTTGTCTGAGGATAAGGGTTGCTAGGGGATTTGATGTCATGTATTTATATAACATCAAGTTAGATACGTTTTTCTCCTTTGCATTGGAGGCAAGGTAGCAATTAATGACTGTCATGTTGTGTACAAGATGGCCTACTGTTACTTAGCAAAATAAGTTGGAAGAGCTTATATTATTATTATTATTATTATTATTATTATTATTTCTTATGTATTTGATACATGGTCTCGCTATGAAGCTCAGAGTCATAGTGATCCTTCTGTTTTCAGCCTCCCCAGTGCTTGGATTACAGGTGTGCACCACCATGCCTGGGTTTAGCGTGCCCAGGGACAGGGCCTGTGCGGCATGTGGTGCTGAGGATTGAACCCTGGTCCCTGTGCTTGCCTAGGCAGGCACTTAGTCTGCTGAGCTCTCTCGCTGGCCCTGGAAGAGCTTATTATGCTAAAACCATAAGAATAGGAAGGATTTTCCATTTCTCTCTCTCTCTCTCTCTCTCTCTCTCTCTCTCTCTCTCTCTCACACACACACACACACACACACACACACGCAATCCGCCCTGGCTGAAGAGAATTTCTCTAGATCAATCTCAGCATCCTATTGTCTTCTTTGGGTCTCTTGGCCAGCAGGTATACTTAAGCTGTGGTTCATTGTATCTAGTGAGCATGGTCACTGGCTTGTGCTCAACATGTGGCAGTGCTGACTGATTTTTATTTTCAGATTGTCTGAAATTGCTAGTGAGTTAGTAGGTGAGTGCGTACCGGTGATGGCATCAGCCTCACGCCCTTTAGTTCTGTGATGTTCTTCTCTGTGAAGCAACTTCAGGGATCCTGTGACCAGGACTGATGATGATGGTGTCTTCTTCTTCCTCCTCTTTCTCCTCTTCCTCCTTCTTCACTTTGACCTGCTTCCTCTTCTACTTGTGGTACGGAGACTTGAGCTCAGGGCCTTGCACATGTTGGGCAGGCACTCTACCACTGAGCAACATTCCCCCCTCCCCCTTGACCAGAGATTCTTCTTCAACAAATATTTAACCACTGTGGCTCTTGCCTGCCATACAATGAAGCATATAACAGTTGAATTTTTTATATTCATAAAATTCCTAATTGGGTGGGTGAGATAACTCAGTGCACTAAGCACCTGTTTAGGCAAGCACAGGTACTGGGGTTCAGTCCCCAGCACCACATGCTGTGCTAGCCCCGCTCCTGGGTGCATTGAGCCAGTCACTGAGACTGGGTGTGGTAGCACATGCCTGTAATCCCAGCACTGGGGAGGCTGAAAATGGGAGGATCACTGTAAGTGTTGGGTAGTGAGACCCTGTACCAAATACACAAATTAAGAAAAACTGATTGATTAGAAGAATCAGAAATTAACCATATCATCACAAATATATGATTACCTACTGTTGTAAATCACATGCAGCAGAGGGTATGAGAATTTAAATTTGTGGGATCAGAGAAATCTGTCTGAGAGCCTAACTAGGTAAGAAGCGTAGGCAAGGGTGAGGGGCAGATAGGAGAGCACAGGGACAGCACATGGAACAGCATGTGCTGAGAGTCTGAGGTAAGAGAAAACTTGCATTTCAGTCAACCTTTAGACTTTTTATTTACTTTACACTTAAGACTGTTCAAAGTGTTGGACACAACAGTACCTGATTCGAAGTTATAAAATGCAATGCTACCATTACAAAAACCAGCTTGGTGCTAGGAAAAAAGAAGAGAGACCTCAGGATCACTGGAATACAGTAGAAGATGCAGACCCAGCTCCACTCAGCTACCTTAACATTGACCAAGGAGCCGAATACCTTCACAAGAAGAAAGGTAGCCTTGCTAACAAATGGGAACACTGGCTTTCCACATGCTAAACATTGAAACTAGACCCTTACCTTTTACCATGCATTAACCAAAAATTAAATGAATCAAAGATCTAAATATAAAAACAGAAACAATCTGCTGGGAGACAGAGTAGGTCAAACTCTTGAAGACACAGGTGTTGGCAGACTTTAGGAGCAAAACCCCAATCCCACAGGAAATACTACGAAGAATTGACAAGTGTGATCATTTAAAGTGCAAAAAAAAGTTTGTCCCGTGAAGGAGGTCATGGAAAGATTGAATTGAAAAGACAACCCACAGAATAGGAAAAAAAATTACATCAGACAACATCTAAAATACAGTATATGCAGGACTGCCCGGAAGATGATAGGGTGGTAGTGAGCAGGAATAAACCAGCCTCTGCATGATTTGGAATCTAGACACTGGAAAACAACAGCCTGAGCAAGAAAAGAAAGGAGGAGGTGGATTTCCTGGACTAAGAAAGGAGCTGGTAGAGAAATTGGAAGCTGCAGAGAAATTGAAGAGACAGATCTCATTGCAGAAAAAGGAATCCACACTTCCTTCCTGGCTGCTGGCTTCTGGTGAGAGAAAGAGAGACTGCTTCTGCAGAGGCACAGTGAAACTGGTGTGCCAGAGGCCATCAGGGAAAAATGCAACAGACAGACAGAGTGGTGGATGCTGTGTACTACACCAGCTGGTGAGTGACTCTCATCCGAGAGCCTGTCGTATCCCCTGGAGAGGTCACTTGGTCTGATGCCATTTCAGGGAAGGAGCAACTGGACCTAGGACTTGGAGCAGCTGTGGGGTGGCCTCATCCTAGAGCTCCCACTTGTAAACTCTTCTTGTGTCTGGCTGAGGGACACGTCCCTGGAC